TCCAAACTTTAACTTATCGAGATCGATATAATATCCTTAATGTACAAAGTGTAATGAATGAACAAGAAAACTACATATCTATAGATAACCAAATATGTCCAAAAAACAATGTATACATATATAAAATTAAACATAGAACATAAAATATATGAAAATGACTAACTCCCACTAAACCACAAATTCCTCAAACTGTAAAACACCCATGTGAGCAACATGCTCATGAAAGACCTTGGGCGGAAGTCCTTTAGTTAGAGGATATGCTATCATGGAGTTTGTCCTTAAGTGTTCTATGGAAATATGTCCACTTTGTACTCTTTCCTTAACAATACAGCTGATTTATTGTCACAATATAACTTAAGTGGTCTTTCAATGCCTTTCACAATTTGCAGCCCTATGACAAAATTTCTCAGCCATATTCCATGATTTGATGCCTCATAGCATGCTACAAATTCTTGACATCCTGCAAAATATGAGTCAGAAAAACCAGCGATCTCCAACTGGTCTGACATCCTATATGTGAGCATATAATCTTTTGTTCTCTTTAAATATCTTATGACCCTTTTTGCTGCTTTTCAATGGTCTATTCCTGGATTGCTTAAATATCTGCCTAGAACCCCAACTATGTATGCTATGTCTGGACGCGTACATACTTGGGCATACATCAAACTCCCTACAGCTGATGCATAGGGAATCTTTTGCATTTCCTCAATTTTCAAATTCCCCTTTGGGCACTGATTGAGACTAAACTTGTCTCCCTTTAAACTTGTGATACATACAATCATCAACAATATTCATCTTGAAGCCAAATGAGTTTCATACCTTCTAGTAATGGGACAAGTTCCCAATAACCTTATTGTCTTGCATGGACTTATACTTCTCCTTCATTGCTTCAATCCACTTTTCAGAGTTAGAACCTTGCATGGCTTGATGGAAGTTAACTGGGTCATCTTCCATCATACCATTATTATCTTCATGTTCCTGAAGAAATACCATGTAATCATCCGAAATAGCACTTCTTCTTTCTCTAGTGGATCTCTACAAAGTTATTGGCTCATGATGCATAGGTTCTTGAGGATCTTCAGTTTGTTCTTCATGAACAACCAAATCATCTTGAGTAAGGGGTTCATTAACAATGCATTGTGGAGGTTCAGAACTTACTTTATCAAAAGTAACTTGTTTGAATCGGTTCGAAATTGTTACCGATTCTTCCTCCAAGATGAAGTTCTTAATCTTATTCTTCCCCCAAACTCAATATCCTCAAAGAACGTAGCAGTTCCAGTCTCAAAAAATTGTCTTTAATGTGGGATCATAATATTTATATCCCCTGGATCTTTCAGCATAACCAATAATATAACCACTTACACGTTCGGGAGTCCAATTAAACTAATTATGCTCACATTATATAAAAAATAAATAATATATATTCAAATAGTGGTTTAACCCATCTCAAGATACCCAATGCACCATCAATATCAAGTATTTGGACAGTAATATTAACTGCTAGAGGTATCTTGTTGTAATAATCAAACATTGACAATAAAGCACGTCCAACAACAAACCAATCTTTGGATTGATTTATCATCGACAAAGCAAATCCTTATAATTATCACATGTTTATCATTACATGTGTGTATGCAATTCAATATTCCTTTGGGCGACTAATACTCGCATGAATATACACAAACACTAACATTCAATATTTTTCATGAACTGCCCAATTCAAGAGAAGTTACTTTGGTGACTTCTTGACTCAATTTGCTCACAAAAAATATTAAACTACCAAAAATTGAATATTTTATTTATATAACAAAACCAAATATTTAATATTTGCAAACTAATTCAAAAGAGAATCACCTCATTATAATTCTACTAAGGATGAACACCTCCCTAGAATCTCATTAGGGAAGAACACCTCATCTGAACAAATCAAAGGATGAAAAAAGGCCTCATTTTCCACCAATACCTAAAGGATGAACATCTTCCTAAAATCACACTAGGGATGAAACGAGAGATAGTTACGAGTCTTTTTAGCATACTTGCTCTAAACCCTAAAAGGGAATTAAACGAGTAATCACTCGGACCCTAATTTAACATCAAATTTTCTTTAAATTCCTAGGGGATAGAGGCAATAAAATAATAACGACCAAACATATGGAAACATTCATCATTTACCTAAGATTCTCTGTGTTGGGAACTCCACAAACACCACCCCCAATTCCAAACCCATAAAATTAAATAAAAACAAAAGATTAAAAAAAGAACAGAGAACCCAATACAAGAAAAATTGAAATATGAAACACTGTTTCTTTCTCAGTAAAACTTGAAACTTAAACTGAAACAAAAGTGAAAAACGAAGAAGAAGAAGAATCCATAGCTTCCTCCACGGTTCCATCAACAAGCAGAATCAGATTGAGGATGTTACCCTCAAATTTAAATTTTAGGGTTCACAAAAATTAGAGATTATCATCCACTTAGGGTTCATAAAATTGGGTAATCTGAATTGTTTAAAACAAAATTAATCCTAATTTTCATAATTAGGGTTCTATAAATTAAACAGACATGAATCAAATATGGGCGGCTCTGATACTAATTGTTGGAAAATTAATAATAATAATAATCCTGATTTTGATTCTAACAATCAAACATAAACATAATCCCATACTGATAAGCATGCTGTAAACTGAATGCGAAAGCGTACCTGAATTAGCCATAACGATGATGTCTTTGTAGAGCACTATATTGATCTTATGGTCTTCCACCTGAAGAGCACCTGTATTTCCCTCTTGATTTTCTCTCTTGATGGGGATAGAGAGAAAGGAACGGGACTGTAACTACGTTCTGTCTGTGTGCTCTCAGAAGGGGACCATGACCCTTTAGATAACCAAAATTAGGTTAATTACTTAAGTTTTAGTATTTCCAATTTGGCCCCTCATCAAATTAGAAATTGCTCTATGGTCTCTACACAATTTTATTTTCATGACATATGCTTTTAGCCAAAACTTTAATTTAGTCAGATCACTTTATTATTTGGCTTAATAAATAATGACCCTAACACATTTAAATTATGTATCATATATATACATGACCCAAATTTTTCCAACACTAGATACTCTTTAACTACTAACATCATTTAGGTTTTCCTACCTACAAAGAAGGATTACTAACAATATTACCTATCCTGATGCACCTCTCTCATGATCTTAGATAAGTCATCAGTAATCCCTCCATTGACTATTCACCTACTAATATTTTAGCCTACTTGATTAAGGTTATCAATGAAACTTGAGATTTTGTTGAATTCTCACAAACATAGTAGTCACATTAACATCAACAATACCTCCACAAGTACCTACAATGACACACATCTTAGTCAATTATGCATCACATCTCTGGTTCGACTTAGCCTTATATATAAAATATATTTCAATCAATTATAAGTCACACTTCTGGCTTGATTAAATCTTAACAATTATATCTTAGTCTTAAAACACATAACACCATCATATAATTTTGTAATTCATGGTACATATCATTTTCTTACCTTTGTATCATTTGTAATAAATTGGGTTTGTTTTAAATAAATGTTTTAATTTTATATTTTTTTATTTGACCTTTATCTACTCTTTCGGTTATTACTTTTTTCTATATATATCATTTTTTGTTAATTCTTATTTCATTGGATTCTTTATTTTTAGAACTTCATTTTATGTATATGGAATGTAAAATTTGGAGTTTGGAGGGTTTTTTTTATTATATTTTTTAGAAGTTCAAACAAAAAAAAAACACACCAAACTTCTAGGACATTTTGCTTGAGTGAAAAATTTGATCGTATTAATTCTCTCTACTTTCACTTGAACAAAAATTAATTAACTTGACTCTTAATTGAACGAATTGTCACCGTTTTAGGTCATTTTTTTAACTATCTTACTCTCACTCAAGCCGTATAGGTCTCACTTTAGTGAAAATGAAGCATAGAAGTGAGATTTACCTAGTTCCCAACATTTTCTTGTCTCAATATCCAGTAATATAACTCTTTTATACTACAGTTATCTAATGTCATACAATACCAAAATAACAAAAATATACTTTTCCACTTATATTTAAATATTAAATATTTTTTTTCAAACATATTATTACTTAAATAACTAACTTTCCTTTACTTGAATATTCTTGAATGTTATTACTAGTGCAAAAATGGGCTTTTACGTCAGGTATTTAGGGCTTTTTACGTCGTATTTAAGACCGACGTTAAAACGGGAGACGTAAATTTACGTCGGACCATTTAGCCCGACATAAATTTACGTCAGTTATCAAGACCCAACGTAATTTTACGTTGCATGTACCACTAAACAGATGTAAAAACTTTCAGAAATTAAAAAAAAAAACAGCAAATTTACGTCACATATTGGTATACGGGACGTAAATTTACGTCACATATACCAATATGCGACGTAAATTTACGTCGCATATACCAATACGCGACGTAAAGTTGTGAAGTCATCTCTGACCTACACGGCAAGCACAGAAAAATTTAGTAGCTTCCGCTTCGGCTACATTGTCCATGATTTTGACGGCGAAAAGCATCGCTGCAGCCATAACGGCCAGGCGCAACACGATGAATCGAATGGTTCATATGTGAGAAACAATTCACACGATTCATGTGCAGGATGCGATTCACACGATTTCCTTCAATTCATTACTGCCATTATTCACGTTGCACGCCCCCTGTTTGTGAAAATGCCAACAGACATATTTTCCTTCTTCTCCTTTTTTCGTGCAAAATAGAGGAACTAGAAAGCTCAGATGTTGAGCTTTTCGTAGCTTTAACCATTCACCATTTGATGTATATCCTCCAACAATAGCATTCCATGTGACCAATTCCCTTGAATCCATAGTCGAAAACAAAGCTTCTGTTCCCTCCTTTATCCAAATTTTACGTAGAAGATAATCAAGGCATTACACACGAAACATCGATCGACAATTCAGAGCCACTGCCGCACTTAAGAGTGGATCTGCCTGCCACACCGGTATGCAACACTCTTATCATAGGAAGCACAAACAGGCAGAATATTTGCAACAGTCGCATAATTCGACTTTGTAGGCCCTTTCACCAATGAACTGAACAACAAGAATGCATCCTCCACTAATCCATTCTCAACTAAGCCCGCAATCATTGCACTCCACGAAACAACATCTTTGTGAACAATATCTTCAAAGACAGCATATGCATCACGAGACACCACCCCACACTTTGCATACATTAACACGAGAGCATTTCCACCAAGGGTGTCTTGTTGAAAACCAGACTTGAAAACATAACCATGCACACACAGTCCAGCATCCAGGTCCCCTAAACGAGCACAAACAGGAAGGACAGTAGCAACGAAAATTGAATTCGGCATAGCCTCTCCACTGGAATGCATCATCTTAAACACTCTCATCACATCAGAATCACATTTGTTTGACCTCGAAAACCCAGACAAAACAATATTCCAAGTAACAGGATCACAAGTGATTGAGTTCATCAAACGGCCTAAGGCGAGTCATCAAGCATGCCACACTTGATATACATGTTGAGCAACCCTTGATTGGTAACCTGGCAAAAAACATGACCTTGTTTAACAACATAACTATGCAGAGATGTCCCCAATTTGGGAGCCAAAAGGGCACAACAAGACTTGAGAATGGCAGCAAGGACAGTGTAATCTGGCTTGAAAGCCTCATAACCCTTTAAACAACGGTGAAAAAGGGACAAGGCGTCGCTGTGTCTTGCATCTAAACACAAGCTTCGAACGATGGAACCCCATGTGCTGAAATCTTGTCCAAGCATAGTGTAATGTCAGACTACCGTGTGAAAATTGTATGATGTGGTCAATTTAAACATATAGCAATGAAATAGAACACTAACCTCAAGTGTAGACGAAAAATGATTTCAAACTCGAATCCAATCGGGGAGAAATATCAAGTTCGTCAAATGACACACAATGGTGATGTTTTTCACTGTCAAACTGATCGAAAATGGTGTGCAGAGGTAGCTGTTCTCATCGTCGTTCTCAAAAACCCTTGCTGCGCGAGACCAGGGAGTGTGCTGGGAGGGAAATAAAAGAGACTTTTTACGTCGCACACCCCAGCATGCGACGTAAAAAGCCTCTTTTACGTCGAACCTATGTGGTGCGACGTAAAAAGCCTCTTTTACGTCGAACCTATGTGGTGCGACGTAAAAAGTCTCTTTTACGTCGCGCCATGTAGCTGCGACGTAAAAGAGTCTTTTTACGTCGCATGCTAAGGTGTGCGACGTAAAAGTTTTGTCTCTTATTTACAAAATTGTCACCGCGTTTTATTTACGTCGAATATTTTTACATGCGACGACAATTGAGTGACGTAAAAGCCCCTTTTTGCACTAGTCTCTAAGTATATGCACTATATGATCAATACTTTGATTCCCAAACTCCGAAAATAAAGAAAATAACTTACTAATTCAAAATTTTGTTTTGGGAAAATTCCTCCATACCACTTTAACTTTATTTTGCAAAATATTTACCAATGCAGAATGGTTTAATCTCTTTACACTCGATCGCACAAAGGTAAACGGATAGAGACAAGCAGAATAACAAGACAATATTTGTGACAAACCAAATATAAACAAACATGAAGTTTGCTTTTAAGAAAATTATAATAATTGTATTGTCAAACAAAGAGCCAACTATAGATATTGCCTTCGGATACCAACTCGCGATGTGATTATATTTTATATAGTAATAATAATTCATTTTTCCTTTACATAAATATTTTGTCTTTGTCGCTGTTTGTATAGATATACATGATAATCAAATAGCCAAATATAGGTTTTGCCTTGGGATATTACTCTCCATGTGATTATATTATATATAGTAATGATTAGCATTTTCTCTTTTACTTAAATATTTGTTCTCTGTTTGTATAGATATATATGGTAATGGCACTGCCAATTCAAAGAAGTTACATCGTAGTTGTCTTTTCCATTTATTTTTTTAATGCCTACTTTGGTATAATAACTGGTAATTGTTGATCATGTCCATATAGTTTTGGATTTTAAAGTTATTTATTTATTTTTATATGATCGAGGAACACGTCTATCTATTTTACATTGATTATATTGTCCATAAATTTTACATTATCCAAATAAGCCAAATATGAAAGACTTAGTCAAACATTTTGAAGCCTTATCTTTCAATTTTCTATTCACTGGTCTAACAAGAAAATTGATATCTAAATTCATGAATAATTTTCTACAAAAACTTGATGCCTCAAACAAAAATGCTTTGTAAATGAAATGAGACAAATCATATCCCAAAAAAGAAGTTGACTTGAAAAGTTTAAGTATTGTCCAAGGCTTGATATATTCTGCAGCTGCTATAGTTGATTGGTGAAATATGTGCTTTTCAGCATAAAATAGATATACAAATACGTGAACACAATATTAGACTATAATTAAATTTAGATTATACAAATATGGTGACTCTTTAAAGGGAATGATTAAATTACAATTATATTGTATTTTATATTATATTAAAGTATATAGTGTAATGGCATGAGAGGAAGATAATATGAGAAACAATTATATTTATAAATAGAATATTATAATAGATAGGTGAATATAATATTTATTATATTAAATCAATATTTGTAAGATTAAATTAAGTATCTCATTATTTTTATTATAATATCAAAATTAATGTTATCAATATTGAGATACGAAAATATGTCTCGACGAGAAAGTGTAATAAAATTTTTCAAAATAAGGAGATAGGATGAAAAATCTCCCAAGAGACGAGGGAGTGTAAGATAGAATAATATTATAATATACTATTGTTATCATATTAAGTTGATTTAATATTATTAAGTTAAATATCTCGTTATTTTTAATAATAAATAAGTGAGACAAATGAAACAAGACATAATTTCTTTGTGTTGATGATTTTTGTTTAACTAGTCACTTTTTTATTCTTTTAAAGTTTATATGAGATTTTTTTTTATGGCTTGTATCTTTTATGTTTAGTTTTTTCTACAGAAACTTTTATAGTGACAGAGCTTAAAATTAGGTCTCTACCATTGCTAGTGGGGGAAATAGCAATCAGCTCTTGCTATCAGAGAAAAACTAAGATATATAATGCTTGTTCAAAATTTATTGGTATATAACGACTTTGATTTTTATACGAGGCATGATATGATATCATGGTTGAACTGCACAAAGAAGAAAACAAGCCAATGTCTATATAATGAAACTAATACACTAAATTAGACTTGTGTGATTTAAAGTAGAAAAAATAATAAATTTATTAGTTAATTTAAAATAAAATAAAAAAACAAAATCATTCCATGTGATCTAGTGGTTATGTATCTAACATCCTTAAGTTAGTTGGGACAATTTATTTTTCAAGTCAAATAATATATTTATACATTTTTAATTACATAGAACAAAGTTGATTTAAATATATAAAATTAAGGGGGTAAAACAAATTTTTTTAGATATTTAATAATAATTTTAATAAAATCAAGTGGACACGTATCTATTCTCATAAAATAAATAAATATGTGTAAATGGCTGTACTTATACAAAAATATAGACTTATGAGGAAAATATTTTTTTATATATAATTTCTTCCTTTTTTCAATTTAGTTAAAATTTTAATAAAAAAACTCAATCATCATATTAAAAGAAATGTGTTCTTAATCAACTTAAATAACTAAATTTAAGAGTAAAACTGTATCATGGTTTGTAAGGAAATTGGTTAGAAAAAAACTTTAAATTACATTTACATTAATATAAAGTGTCATGTGTTAATAAACATAAGTATTTTTTTTTCTTAAAGTTGGAAAATGGATGAAATCTGATGCTCTTATTTCCCACTGTAAGCAACACAAGTTAACAGTTAAATTTTTATTATCTTTATTAATGTTTATGCGCAACACAAGACAATAGTTTGTAAAACAAAATATATTTTCCAAAAGTTATGTACCAGCAAATTAATGTTGAAGGATGGAAAGGCGACATTGATACGTGATAAATGTAACATGACGTCAAGAAATTTTAATATTACTGACGGTTAAAATCTGTCGGTAATATCTATTTACCAACGGATTTTCGATGGCCAAAAATTCGGTTGTCGATCCGTCGCTAAATGTTTTACAAAATTACTGACGGACAGGAATCTGTCGGTAATATTTTTATTATTTATTAAATATTTTACTTATATAGCTTATGTCGTAGGATTCAAACCCAGTACCTTAAAGTTAGAGGTTGATACTACAACCACTAAGCTACCAGAATTTTTTGATAATAATTTACAAGTAAATTATATTTATATATTTATATATTTATATATTTATTTTTTAAAATTATTTAATTTAAGAAATTATTATAAATTAATCTAATTATGATTAAATTAAATTATTAAATAAAAAATATTTAATTTTTTAATTAGGTGAATATTTACTAATTGTTAATTTACCGATGGAAATATCCGTCGGTAATTTACAGATGAATTTACCGATGGATATATCCGTTCGGTAATTAATTGTTAATTTATTGACGGATTTACCGACGGATATATCCGTCGGTAAACTTATTTGTAAATTACCGACGGATTTATCGACGGATATATCCATCGGTAACTAATTATTATTTTACCGACGGATATATCCGTCGGTAAGATCAAATTCCACAAATATTTTATATCCGTCAGTAATAATTATTTTCCGACAGTTACAAATCCATCGGTAAATATCCGTCTGGTAATACGCGATTTTCTTGTAGTACGATACTTATCCACTTATTAGATTTTTTTTACTTATAATAAGAGTTTTCTTCATTTGGTGTTAAAAATAATTTATTTTCGGTTAAAGTAGTTAGAGTCACTAAAAAAAATGAATGAGTTATGTTTTTTAACTCTTTGTAGGGATTAAAAGCTTAAAGTAGATAATTGGAAGCTTTATTACCTAAAGCCTCTCGTTCAACAAGATGCACATGTAGAAATTTGTATCACCATTGAGAATTAAAAAATTTTGTAATAATTATATCACTTATAGGGATAAGATTGTTTATCCAATGAAAATGTATTTTATGACCAATATTCAAATAGAGAAAGGGGAAAGAAAAAAATAGAGTTGTTAGGAGAATTGAAAGCATAAAAATAAAAAATTAGGATTTTTTTTAGTACTCAAGATTCTTTAACCATTTATTAATATCCATTTGTCATAATAAATAAAATGTTGATATTTTTTTTTAATTTTGAAAGACTTTTTTATGTTGATTTAAATTACAATTTAAAAAAAACTTTTTCTTACAATGCCTTTGCTACTGTAATAATTTGTGTTTCATTTATATTACAACCATCTCAAGCTATTATTCAATATATATTTTTTTAATTAGTGGGGTAGAATTATTTAACTTTAAGGTAATATAATATAAAAATGTAAGAAAATTTTATAAAAATCAAAATTATATAAGTGTTATAGGTGGGACCAAAGTCAATAGTCCATGCAAGGAAATAATTCATCAAATCTAACGTGAAGCATTAATGTTTTGATAAAAACATTGGACGAGGAATCTAAATTGTGTATATATTGTCAATAGTTGAACAACTTGATGATTAATAACAATTATCCATTGTCAAGGATAAATAATTTGATGGATTAATTACGTAGAATATTTATTCTTTAAGATAAATTGATATATATATATATATATATATATATATATATATATATATATATATATATATATATATATATATATATATATATATATATCATGAAATGTTGGTGAAATGTTGGTAAAGACAAAAGATT